AAATTAATCAAGTTTAAGAAAAGTACTTTATTTTGAGTTAAGTTTTAACAATGTGTTTAGTTTGAGGAAACTAAGGGAGGAGAGAGAGGAGGGAAGTGAAGGAATTAATATAAAATAATAAAGTAAATGATTCTGATCCTTTCCGGCTTTCCCCTCCTCTCCTCTTCAAAAAATTTTTTTAATAAAATAGATGAATTTTCATTGTTCTTCTCCTATTCTCACAAATTAAATATATTGTAAAACTTTTTTATTTTGTTGTAATAATAATATATTCTTTTGTTAAATTATAAAAATAAAATAAAATTACTAAACTTTTATAGAAGTTAAGAACAACTAAGTTTTAATTATGTCTAATTTTTCTTTATATTAGTAAATAATCTAGGAATACTATTATTTAAAAAATAAAAATAATATACTTTCTTCATTAATCTTTTAATTTTAGAGAAAATGATCAACGTGCTCAACTATTCCTAACTTCTTAAATAAATATATCAAATTTAACTTATTTTTATAATTTGATAAAAGAATACCAACGAAGAATTGGATCAAGTGGTAAGTGACTTGTTCAGTTTAAGTAAGGTCTCGAGTTCGAGACCTTGTGTACGCAGCAGTTTTCACTGGGAGACTCACCCACCATTTCCAAGTGCGCGACACGGGTCGAGTCCGGATTAGTCAGGGCGAAAACCGCAGATACCAGGCGAGAAACCAAAAAAAAAAAAAAAAATTTTGATAAAAGAATACTTGATACCAGTAACAAAACATGACTTTATCTGAAACTCAAAAGAAAAAGGGCTAAACCGCTGAAGTATGAGAAAATTGTATATTCTTAATATATATTCTAGTATATAACTTAACCAAATCCCATCCTGATTTCATCCCTCATATTAGTGCACCTGTTTTGTTTTATTTTATTTTATGAAAAGATAAAATCTTCATTAAGCAAATATCAAAGTCAAAGTATGAAAGTATAGCGAAAGCAGAGCATAGCTGTGCCACCTCCGCACCCAGTCCCTTTGAAGCTAACTAATTTATATTGGTCTATTAGCCATATTAACAAGAGAGGAATGATACGTTGGAGATTGGGGGTTAGAAAATAAATTATTAGTTTCAAGGTGTGTTGCAAATATCACTTTCCTTTAAACTAATTTCGTTTCCACCAAATCTGGTATACAAAAAGGGTAACTCGAAATGCCCATATGATACAATGAAACACCTTATTGATCTAACCTTTGCACTAGCAAAATCAACCACTGAATCATCATTTGGAAAGCAAGAAAACAATAGTTTTTGTACAAGGATTTTTGCAATAATTACAGTACAAAAGGAGCTGTTTTATTTAGATAATAGTAGGGATTTGATTCTATGTTCAAAAGTGTAAGAAGAAGAAGAGATAACTCCATATTTATAGAGGCAAGATGTTTGTTAGAAACAGACACTCCTTTTCAATTTTATTCATTGGAAACTCTTTCAAAAGTCATTTGGTTTGATTTGAATTCCAACTTACATGTTTCCTTACCTTCTAGAGTTATCCACTCTTCCTTGAGAATTTTATTAGAATTCTATCTCTTATTTCTAACGTAAATGGTTCGAATCAAAATCATAACTTTTGGGGCTAAAACCAACTTTTAGCCCCTCACCTTACAAAATTGGTAGGTTTTAGCTCATAACCTTATCATATGGCACTTTTAGTCCTTTACCTTACAAAGTTGGTAGGTTTTAACCCCTCACCTTACAAAGTTGGTAGTTTTTAGCTTCTCACCTTATATTATGACACTTTTAACCTTTTATATATACGAATTGAAGAAAATAACCTTTATTTAATATCAAGTTATAATGTTCTATTAGTTTTGTTAGTTGACTGTCAGTTCTGTTAGTTGACTGTTAACATCTGTTAGTATTCCGTTAATGGAACAAACAAATAAAATTGAATTAAATTTCATGTTTTTTATAACAAAATACTAATGGATGTTAACAGTCAACTAACATAACTAATAGAACATTATAACCTGATATTAGGTGAGGGCAATTTTCTTTAATTCATATCGGTGAGTGGTTAAGAATATCATAATATAAAGTAAAGGGTTAAAATCTATCAATTTTGTAAGGTGAGGAACTAAAACTTACCAACTTTGTAAGACAAAGGGCTAAAACTGTTATATTATAAACTGATGAGCTAAAACCTACCAACTTTGTAAGGCGAGGGGCTAAATGTTGGTTTTTGCCAACTTTTTAAATTTTGATTTTACGTAAACGGTTCAAATCATAATTATATGATTTGATTCAAAGTTACACTTTTTCAAATGCATCTATGCAATTGCTTCGAACCAACTTTTTGTGGTTCAAACCTAAATCCTAAAACTATTTTGAAAATTCTTCAATATGATATGGAGATAATTTTTGTGTAATTTTTTAATA